TGCTGGTTCACCAAACTCCCAATCCAGAAAGCCTAGTAGAACTTACAACTGGTTATTAGTATATCAGATCGGCCTGATATTCTTTTTCTCTGGCTCGATCTGGTGGCCTAGTTGGTGGTACTCTTCACCTAGAGGTTTTTGCCCGTCCGGCTACTTCGACCTTGGTATCCATTTCATAAGGCTAGCCTTTATAGTAGGACCATTGAAAATCTGGCTACCTCTCTAATCAGGTCTTCCCAAATGGACTTCTTGTTACCCAATTTCAACGGATTTACACAATCACAAGAACTTATCTAATGTTTGCACTGCCTATTGCCAGTTTGCATTCCTTTGTGTAACCACAACCTTGTTCCAAGGAACAATGTCATGTGACCTGTTACACGAATGCTCCATAACCTACCAGTCATGCTGGTGCGATCGCCATTACAGGTATCCTAACCTAATCATTAGTAACAGTTGTCATAATATGAATATTACATAGGTGATTATCCAAATTTTCACTGTTAATAGGATTTGAACACCCAACCTACCACTTGGAGGGTTGACAACCTGACTACTTCACTAGGTCACCACACCCCATTATTAACATTCTTCTTAATATTAATAAACAATTATATAAGCAATTATAAAAGCATATTGCATTCACTTTTTTAATTAAAAAAAACAACAAAACAGACTCCAATCTCAACTAATTAACAAATTTTTAACATTATTTAACTTAGCTACTAGACATATATATTTTTAAAGAAACTATACATACTTATATCTTTGCAAACTTTCAAATCAATTACATACTTATTATAATATATATTCTTCTATTAAACAAACAATTTACAAAATTAACATATAGTTTATTTTATAGATTAAATATAAAATATTATTAAATTATATACTAAATATTTAAATCTAAGTAAGCTTTGACTATTCTAGTAGGTTTAAATTGCAGATAAATTAGTTTAAGTTTTTATTTTGTATATAATTTTCAATTTATTTGTTTTGTACAAATAGTAGTAGCTGTATAATTAGCAGTTTAATAGTTAACTTTAACTGCAAATATTGGCTTTAGTTATAGCATATATATATATAACTATTTTAAATTACTAATAAAGATATAGGCAAGACCTTATATTAATACCAAAAAAAAAACTAATACAATATAAAAAAGATAAAAATATTCTATAATATATTAAAAATAAACAATAAAAATTTATATAAACTAATAATAATAATATATATTATATTAACAAACATTAATTAAATAGTACAACTTGTAATTTATATAAATTATCAAGCTTAAAAAATACTGATCCAAATATTTGCTTACTACTTGGTTATGCTCTACATAAAATTAATATATGGCTTGATCATTAGATACTTTATAGTTACTCTATAAACAACATTTTATACAGATCATTCTCATTAATATCAATTTTATTAAAATTAGCCTAAGCTATATAGCAAATTTTATAAATTTTTATATTAAAATTCTCTTATATATGTCAACTTTAATATGATTTCTAATTAATATCACTATCAATATAATTTAAAACTAATTCAAATAGGTTAATATTTATAAGAATGACTTATATTATTGAATTTAAATGAGTTTTAACCACTTTAGTAGATTTAGATTGCAGATAAATTAAATAGGTAATAGTTAATTTTTTTTTATAATCTGAGCTTTACTTTGTAATAAATTTATAATTGAAATAGATTTTGTAATTTATATTCAAAAAAGCCTTTGAAGACATCTTTAACAAATTAATAAAAATATAAGCAAATTCTTAAAAAAAATAATATTGTTTTCAAATAAATAATCAATATATTTTTTTTCATTAAATAGTATAGTATGTAAATTTTTTATATTTGGTAATAATTGTAATATTGTAAAAATTATAATTTAATAAAAATAGTTAGAGTTGTTTATTTATATAATTTTTATTATATAATCTTAGAATTTATAAAATATAATATTAAACATGGCTTTATATAAGCTTTCTATAAAGAGGTGTTTTTGTTATAATTATTTAAAAAAAAAATTTTATAAACTTTATCTTTTCTTTTTTTGCTATAAACAAGTCTTTTTTTTAGTTATTAAAATTTTTTAAAAATAAAAATCTTTAAATAATTTTGTATCTAAAACAATATATTATAAATAAATTGTCTTTTTTTACAACTTTATAAACTTAACAAACTGCCCTAGTAAAGTAATACACTATTACAGGTTCTGTTGTTATATAATATATTACTTGTGTTATACTAAAAAAACTATATAACTTGTAACAATACTAAAGAATCTATTCAAAAAAAAAAACCTTGATTCTGGTATAAATTACTTCAAATATATCTGTTCTTTAATATTTTATTTTTTATAAACTTTATTAACAACTTACTTTACTAAAAATCTTAAATTTATATAATTTGCTTTTAGAGTAATTTGGTTTAGAGTTCCAATCCGGATAAATCCGCCATTCATTTATCTGTATCTAAATTTCTCCGGATATCCATTTACTATTGATATCCAGATAATCCGACAAATATTCGGATAATTATCCGGATAGATCTTGGATATCTGATAGATAAATGGATAAACGGATAATGGATCGGAGCTCTAAATTTGGTTTAAATAATTATTAAACTTGTTTTAATTTTCAATTGAAAAAATTTAAATTTTACAAAAATAAAGTGTCAAATAATTGACTATATATAATTAAAAACTCGCACAACCTGGCACACACTTTAAATATAAGTTCTCTATTTATAAATCATTTGGAAAAAAATCACCATTTGATATTTAATTTTAAGCGGTAAATTTTCTAGTCTGTTCTCCACTTAGCATTAGATTTTTAAATAGCCCAATGGCTAATAACATTTGAAAATGCTTTCTGCACACTAATAAAACTTTTCTTGCAATTTGATATTAGTTTAATTTCTTGGTTTTTATATTAAAATTTTTAAACAAACCTAGCCGCTTTTGTTTTTAAATTTCATATAAAATTTTTTAAAAAACACCCAGTTATTAAAGCATAAAAATTTTTTTACAAGTTTTCGAATTTGACTCGGCCGGGTTATGATTAACTTTGCAATAGTTTTTCCTGACCTAACCAATAGTGAAACGAAATTTTAGGTCGGTAACCCTAGAACAATTTAATTTAACTATTAACGAAATTTATACGGTCATGGCGCAAAAATTTGCAATCCCATGACAGGGACCGGTAAAAGTTTGTAGAAATTTGGTAATTATATAAATAATAAAGATCAATGTGTAACATAGAAATCCGAAGTAAAAAATAAATACGTAATAATAACGATAATAATAATAATTCTACGGTTAAACATTAATAATTTTGCATTAATATAAAAAAAAAAACCGATATATCTAAATTTCATACAGAAAAAATGCTACTTAAATAAAAAATTAGGATAATATCAATGATTATGACACTTTTAGATCGAAACTTCCTTTGCTACTCTATTTATAGCAACATTTGCATTGTGTAAAATGTGTTTTCGCGTGCAATGGATAAATTATAAATTCCCCATTCCATAAAAGATCATCTATAATGTTCAAACTTGGTAAACTTGGTGGACAAACCACCTAATTGGTTTTTGTACCTCCATCTTAGTATGACAAAATTTTTTCGTTGATATTTATGACTATCTCGTCGTTTCTCGGGTTTTTTTCGTTCGCTTATCTATTTCGAAACAGTGAACGCCAATTTACGACTATTCCCCTGCTTCGTCTTTTTTGTTGACGCTATATGTTCATTTTTAGTTTATAGTTTTCAGTATTGAGCATCTCAAGTATGTCGTCCTCGGAAGTCGACCATTTGGATACAGAAAGCATTAAAGAACACCATGGAGAAATCATTTATGATGCTAATGGCTTCGTTAAAAAGATTTATCGAAAAGATAGTCAATTAAATAGAAGAATTGTTGATAGTTACGTAGGCATGTGGCAAGAAGATAAAAAGGATTTTTCCAATAAAGAGGATGGCATTCAAAAAAGACGCGAAAACGCCCAAATTATGACGAACGCGTTCTATGACATTGTTACTGATTTTTATGAATATGGCATGTATAATTTATTGTAATATGATAACTAAACATATTTTACATATCAATTGATAACAGAAAAAGATAATGAAATTTACTTTGTTCTATAGGATGGGGTGAATCTTTTCATTTTGCCCGTGCTTTTAAAGGAGATACATTCGAACAATCCATCAAACGTCATGAACAATATTTGGCCGTGAAACTTGGGTTAAATGAAAAACAAAAGACCCTTGTGAGAATCATGAATTACTACATCAAATATATATGTCTGTATGATATTAATATATATATTAATAAACTACATGTCTTGCGTGATTAGGATGTTGGATGTGGTGTCGGGGGACCCCTTCGCGAGATAGTGAGGCTGTCAGGTGCTCACATTACTGGTCTTAATAATAATGGTTATCAAATCGAAAGATGTAAAGCCTATGCCAGAAGATTAGGATTAGAAAGCAAGTCCGATTATATCAAAGTAAATAATTTATTACCTGAATTTAATTCAGCATCAAAATTAAAAAATTTTCATTGTAGGGTGACTTCACTGCTATGCCACGTGAGCTAGATGGCAAATTTGATTCAGCTTATGCAATAGAAGCAACCGTTCATTCACCTAAACTTGAAATGGTTTACGGGGAAGTATTTCGCGTTCTTAAACCTGGAGGTCTCTTTGCTACTTACGAATGGGTTACTACACCAAACTATGATGAAAACAATCTTGAGCATAAACGCATCATTCACGGCATTGAGGTTGGTGCAAAATAAATTTTGTCTTATTTTAGACATTATATGTGCTTGCTCATTTATTTGGACTTAAATATAGGAAGGTAATTCTATCCCTTCTTTGAGCTCTTATAAACAAGCACTTGATGCGGCCAAACGTGTTGGTTTCGAATTGATTGAACATGAGGATTTGTCTATTTTATCTGAATGTCATGAACCTTGGTACAAGACTTTGAAAGGAGGTTTTTCCTTTAAAGGATTCAGAATGACTCGCATAGGCAGATGGTATGTTAAAAAAAAAAAAAAAAACTTAATTTATAATTAATTATCAATTATCAATTACTAGGGCTACTCATAAATTTGTGTATATTCTTGAATGTCTTCGCATTGCTGCACCTGGTTCAACTGACGTGTCCTGTTTCCTCAATAAAACTGCAGATGCTCTGGTCGAAGGTGGAGAGACAGGAATTTTCACCCCAATGTTCTTTATGCTGTTTAGGAAGCCAACGACGGTTTAATGACAAAACTATGTTATTTTTTTTCCTCAATCGTAGCATGAAAAAGACTTCTTGCACCACTTCTAATTTTTGAATTCTCTAACAAAACTTAGTTATTTATATCAATTTGTTTGTCGCTTATCTTTATCACATAATGTTTCTTTTAATTATTGTCCTTTTTAATTCAATAGACTTAATTAAGTCTGTGGTAGCAAACTTTATTTAATTTATTTATTTATTATGTAATAATACTTTTGCTATCGCACTGCATAACTATTCAGACAACAATTGTGTTATTTGGGCAATCCAGTAAAGAGTCCATGTAAAATTTGGTACAATTGAATTTGAACTTTAGAATGTATTATAGATTTGAATATTGTAAATTTTGAATTTTTTTTTTTATTATAAATTTTTGAATCATTATTCTCGAATCGGACAAAGATGATCTAATATTTTGATCGGTTTGTTTATTCATTAATTCATTTTTCTTTCCTTATTTGATTATTTGGGCTAGATGTTGGGAAAAGGGCTGAAAGTGACAAAAAAAAAAAAGGATCTTCGGAAAATCCATTTTTATATTATAATAAAATCATAAGAAAATGCAAAATTTTATTAATACAATTACTTTTAGCCCATTTGTTTATTTTTTTATTTCTTAGCATCAATGATTATCAAATTTGGATTTATTTATTGTTTTATTTATTGGCAATAGTGACTCAATTCCGTTAATCCGAAATTGCCATTGAACTAATAGCCAAAGTTAGTCTTTAATACAAATAGTTTATTTATTTACGTATTATACTGTTAGCAGTTATGGATTAATTACAAAAAAATTTATTAACTACGTATTATAAAATAAAGTCAAAATATTGACTTTTATGAATTTTAAAGCACTTAACATGTTTTTTTTTGGTTTTATTAAAACTTTATTAGATAATTTATATGCAATTATACTTGAGTTTCAATTTTTATATTTTAACTAGGGTGATTAGCAAGCTAGTGAGGCGAGCTTTTTTAAGCTCGCCAAATAATGGCACGACTCTCACTACTATTGTCTCACCAAGCCGCCAATTTGCTTACCAGCTTGCTGAACATTCTAATCTTAATACTATTTTGTTGCTTTAAAAGTATCTAATATAATTGGTTGTACTAATTTTTAATTACAATATTTATATTTTGTTATAATGCATATATAATATTTAAAAACTACACTGACTTCAAAAGCCAATAATTTTTGATCTAAAAAAGATCTAAATCAATTAGAGCACAATTTTAATTTCTTGATTTTATAACATGAAGTTTTTAAACAAACCTGACCGGCCGGCTTGTTTTTAAAATTTCGTATATAAAAATTTTCTAAAATCTTTTTAAAAACCCATCCGATTATTAAAACATAAAATTTTCTTACAAGTTTTTTGAATTTTGATCCAAAATCAATTAATTAATTTTGCATAATCTTAACTACAACTTTTTTTATTATTAAGATTTTAATATATTGGTTTCAAAAAATTGGTATATTTTTATAAAGACTTGTTAATACCATCTTTTACATAGTTTTAATTAGCTTTTAACTCTTTTAGAAACTTCATAAACAATGTTTACTCTAACTGTTAACTAATTAATTACATGAATTTATACTGTTTTTAAATATTATTAATAAATTTTAAATTGGGTAAGGTGGGTGTGGGTCCCATAGCTTAGCGGTTAAGCTCCCATATCCTCCACAGTCAAGGTCAACGGTTCAAGTCTGGCTGGAGGCAAAATCGAAAGATTTTAGCTTCTGTAACCTAATAAGGAGCCTGTAATTGAATACGA